ATTTACAATTTTGATTGGCTAAACCAATATGCATGATCGGGATCATCATTTCCTTATTTGGGACGGTCCCTCCTGTTAGAACGTGCTCGTCTTTTAGGTTAATTGACGGTCTACTTCCGATTTATTTCGTTAATATTACTATAAGATAATGAAAAAGTGAATGAAATCACGTGATTGGAGATTTAAAGCTGCTTGAACCATATAAAATAAATCAATTATTTTATGATAGATCTTATTTCATAAACTGAGATAGTAAATCATTGAATAAAACCGTTTTTGCATGTTCCCGAATGCATCAACTGCTGAGTGAATCCCTCTCTCCTGTGATCAATCACAAATCAAATTATTTATATTGGATTCAATTGTGATGGATATAATCCCTCACCAGTTTAATGTGTGTGTAACATTAACGGTCTCTGTTGTTTACTTCTCTGCAATAACTATATAAATTTTGAGGAAAATATCCAATAATTTTCGAAAGTTAAAGATGATCGACTTCGACTTAGCTGGCAAAGCCAAGTTTTAAATATCGACTTAGTCAAGTCGATAAATAATGAACACGATAATATATACAGTGTTACTAAATAAAGCAACTCTTTAAATTTGATACGTAGAAGAATCATGAAATTTTTTTTGCAATGTACATATAATCTTGTTATTTATCCAGGTTATGCAAGAATAATCCAATTGGATTACTTATACAATCAGCTCATAAATGTTTGCCTTGTTTCTACCAAATCACGTAATAACTCCATACTTTTCTTGTACCATTCTCATAACCGTGTCATATTTTGTCACAACAAGTATGGAAAAAGTCACCAAGGGCAATTCAAAAAAAAGGTTAACTGAAGAAAGCGAAAAAATAGGTTCTGACAAGGAAGAAGCTTCCTCCAAAGAACCTGAACTAAAGAAAGTTAAAACTACCACTTCTGTTCCAGTTAATACTAAAATGCCTGAAAAATTGGAATTTCATAAACCTTCAGGAACTGTTAAGCTCGCGTCATGGAATGTTAGCGGGTTGAAAGCAGCTTTAAAAAAGGTTGAAAAGGCCCTTAACTTTTTTATGCAATTGTAATTTTATTAATTATATTATTTTAACTTTGTAGGGATATCATACATATGTAGAAGCCGAAGACGCAGATATTTTGTGCCTTCAAGAAACGAAGGTCAATGAAAAAGAATTTAATGCTATCGACACCAAGAAATATAAATATCATTGGTGGGGTTTTGAAGAAAAAAAGGGATATGGTAAAGTTCGTTTCCGAATTTAAAATGTTAATTATAAATGTTAATGCTATTTAGTTGTTTAACAGGTGGAGTCGCAGTGTTCTCAAAGATAGAGCCGATTTCTGTTGCTTTTGGCCTTTCTACACATCCTACACCTGAGATCACTAAAGGTCGCGTCATCACATTGGAGTTCAAGACATTGTATTACGTAGCTGTTTATGTGCCGAACGCGGGAGAAAAACTTGTTAGATTAAAAGAACGTGTTACTTGGGATGAAGCCATGGAACGATATTTAAGGCAGCTTGACGAAAAGAAGCCAGTCATTTGGGCAGGGTAATAATTATTATG